CTGAGGAACATGTGTACCGAATTTCGTGGCTCTACGACAAACTTGACCTCCGACCCCCTCCCATAGGCGCAATGTAAACTGACTTTTGTAGGGGGCGCTGTTCTGACATTTTTTTAGTCCCATAAAAATAAACACCAAAAAAATTAATTTTTCGCCGGTTCTGAATTTTGGGCAAAATTTCACAACTTTTCATCAATGTTCAGGGGGTCAAATTAAGGTTCAAAGCGCAGAAGAAAAAAGAAAGAAAGAAATAAATAAATAAACCAAGGAATTTTTTTTTTAAATCTTCGAGCAAAAACAATATAGGTTTCCATCGTAACCTATAATACAAATGATACGTCGTTTTAAAGCGAACGACCAGACGAACGCAACTATTGGGTTCTCGGTGATTGACGAGCGCTGATACGCTCGTCAATCACCTCGCCATCATGAGGTCACCCACCCCCCATAGGACCCCATTGATTACACAGTGTACTACAGCAGGAGCAAAGCCATTCAGTGCCTCCGGCACTGTTTTGTCAGTGTCTGGACACGCGCCGTCGGGCTTGGGGAACGAATGTCCGGGCTTCGCCCGGACATTACTTGTTGGAAAAGCAATAGGCCCTTACCCCGGTTGGGGCTCGGGCCTAAAAATCAAATTGATCACTCTAAAAAGCTAACAATGCTATCATTGTGTCGGTGCTTCTGTGCTATATCTGAGTACTCGTTGCAAATATTTAGAGCCACATTGTGTTTATATACAGTTAGGTAGGCCAACTCTAGATAGAACGATGGATAGATAGATACTTTATTGATCCCCCATAGGATAAATACTGGATAAAAGTAACATTTACAGGTAGAAAAAAAGTAAGAAAAAAAACAATTGTAAAGTACAAAACAACAGCTGGCTCCGAACTACTTAAGACGTGCTGTCGGTTCCAGCGTGTTCAAAACTCTAGCTTAAGGAATTACTAAATAATGCCACAACGTCCGGCAATTCTTGGCTATCTCATATTAAAGCACCTTTTGGAACAGGTGTTGACAGAAAAGTTTGGGATCTGTTACTTTTATCTGTTCTGTAATGGGCAAACATTTAGCGTTAGCAAAGACAATCACACACGTTATAGGAGAGCTTGGTTATAAAGTGTTTACTTTAAACTCAACTTCTTGAGAGCAGTATAAACGCAAACCAAAACAGAACCAGAAGGAGATTAAAGGATATGTTAAATCCCTGTCTGTCTGCTCAGAATGACGACTGCTTCATTATTCGTATAGCAGGTGGTAATTGAACTTCAAATGGCGTAAACAAGTGGTGTAATGGGAGTACAAAAGTCGCCAGTGTCATGGGCAGGGCGAGCGAACCATTTCACCTCTTTTGAAAATAGACAAGCCAAGCAAATCTGAGGTGAAAGCACAGACCAGGATTGATTCAGGTTCAAGGTTTGTCTGAAGGAAGGGTGAGGCGTTTAGAGGTCCTTGAACTACATGTAGGAGTCGCTAACACGGTTAGAATAACAAAGCCTGTTAGCTAGTGGGGCGGCCATGTTGTAGGATTGTCTCAGGAACAGCTATGGAGAAACTGGATTACGCCACAGTTTTGGTAATATGGTTTTGTTCGATTTGATCGTTATTCTGTTGAATTAGTCAGTCTCATTTTATGAACTGATTGCATTCTTAATTAAACATATTTAAGGCTTTCGTCACAATTACTTGGAACAACATCAGTAATGTTGTTTAAAATTAGTTGCAATGAGGAGGAGGATTTTTATTCAAAATTCTAAATTATTTAGAATGGAGACTTGAAATTAATTGTTTCAAGTCTCAATTTCTCTTTTTCTCTCTGTATTTGACAATTGCTTCATATGCTTCACAATCACAAAAAGCGGTGTAGAGAATATATAAACATTCTGCTGATTATCTTTCCTTTGGATTAAAACTATGATATTTACTTGAAAATAACATTGGATTTCCATGTCAAATGTACCAAAAACATGTTTTTGTTGTGTTATTTAAGTACGCTCTTTTCAGACAACATCGGGCCATAATGTTGCCATAGAGATTGTTAACAATACGGTGACGGAGATGGCTGATAAGAAACAAGGAGGACGAGACGAAACATTCATTTGAATATAGAGTACATCTATTGAAAGTGGAGCGCTCTCAAACATTGCAAAACAGCTTTATTATGAACCCAGAATCATGTTTTACCAGGGGTGTCCAAACTTTTTAATAAGAGGGCCACTTTATTTCACCAGACTAGTCCTGGGGCTGACATCACGGAGTGAAAAGCTGTCTTCATTGGCGTCGGGCTGTTCTGAGCTTTTTGATAATCTATAACGGAGCTGAAGTTGGTTGAATGACAAATGTTTGCCATCTCATCAGCTGTATTAGCACCTTTAACGGAAGTGACACAATCAAAAACCACAGTATGTGCAAATAAAGTCAGCGACATACTGGGCTTTAGAACAAGGTCTATATTGGCTGAGCTGAAGTTGGATGGATGACACAGTGAACTTGTGTCTATGATCTCCAAGAGTATTTTAGGTTAGCAAGGCAGAGGGCCACATGAAATGACACTGAGGGCCGCATTTGGCCCCCGGGCCTGAGTTTGGACATGCCTGTGTTATACTGTATATCGTGTCCGTCACACTATCAAAAAAGCTTCTAATTTCAGTCATTTCATGATTTGGTTCTAACATGCATTTCCCAAAGCCACAACTTTACCAAATTAACTGTAAAGTAATATACTATTATTGTGCTTGCAAAGCCAGTGGCTGATGTGGGGGGACAAGACTGAGCGAGAAGAACGTTAAGCTTCTTAAACTTCACTGCTGGAAATGATCCATTTTTGGTGTTCATTGTTATTACCCCAATTTTGAGAATCTAAACTTAATATAGTCAAATTGGGCGTATATGTTGAATTTAGCATTGCATGAACTTTATTTTTCTTGTAGATATGAGACAAACACGTTCAAATCAAATGTAGTATTGATGATGATTATAATATAGATTTCATATTTCACTATTTTAGTTCCAATTAGTGAACAGAATGAGCCTCAGATTAGATTGTTATTTGAGTTTCCAGTTTCAGTTAAGAAATACAATGTGTTCAAAGCTAAAATTCAGTGATCTCAACCCCAGTTCTGCACCAGTCATGATGCATACCCCGTCGATATGTGTCTTTTAAGGCAGTACGATCCTTGTACTTCCTCTGACCCACATGCTATCCCCACGTCAATGTTATCACTTGTGACTTGGGCGGCGTTGAAAGGCCCGCTCTGTAACCAGTTCCCATAATGCACTCTGTTTCGATTAGCACAGCTCTTTTGCATGTGCATCAAATGGTTTATGTCAAGATCGCTCCGGCTCCTCTCCATATCAGGTTGGGATAACTAATTGTCACCCAATCAACCTCTTCTAATGTAATGTCAGTATTATTTAAAGGGGAATAAGTGGGGACTGTGCGGCTCGAGGAGAAGAGAGTTAAAGACGGAATTGCATTATTTGCACTCTGAGGATTTATATTTAGAGAACATGTGATGTTATTTTAAAAAGACAGTTAGTTCACTATAGTCAGAAATCTCCTACAGATACCATGTTATCCGTTGTGTTATTATAGAAATCATAAAAATAGATGATCACAGTGAGCAGCAGACGTAATGACAAATATTTTTTTTTTCTAAATAAGAATAATTCTGTGTTAAACTTTGATTAGAAAAGGTTAAATAGTAAAAGATTGAGAACAAATATGATGTAAAAATATCTTACATGCTGTCTGTGGTATTCTTCTTTATGAGTGCATTTTTATTTACTATATTACGAGAGTTAAATTATACGTTTTCCCCGACCACCTGCTTCATCAGACATCCCTGTATACTTTATTGTCACGTAAACGCCTGGTGGTATAAAGCACTAATCACAGTTTACAAGATAAGAACAAAAAAGTATGTTATTCTTATATTATAGCTCAACACAAAGTACATGCATTATATTTAATCTAATGTTTCACTCGCGTGTCTGTACCGTGACAGGCAATAGGAAAAGATGGATGATTGGGGAGGAGCGGCGGAGAGAGAAGAGAGCTGGCGTTTGATGAGCTGAATATTAATGCCTCTCAAAGATTATGAGGATTATTAGCTCTTTTCTCCTGCGACAATGCAGTTATTTTATGATTAAATTACAGAGGGAATTGCTTTTGATACGAGCACGCCCACCAGGCGACACTTGTGCAGAGCGATTGCCGCATGTGCAAACCCACTCCCCAAACCATTGTCTCACACTGAAATTGAAAAAGGCCCAAGAGAGAGGAATAGGCCTAATCGTCCACACGGCTTTGTTTAGACTAATGGGTTACTCACGGCAAAATCCTACTTAAAAATCAGTTAATAAAGCCACTAAAAATGTTGTGTAAATTTTCAGTGGGACAACATAGTACTTTACATGTGGGTGTGGCGGACTAAAATATACAATCAAAAACTCATTCAGAATAATTTATGTTGATACTATTATTTAGCAGGTGATTGCTTATAGGAACAGTTTACATTGTTATGGCCTTTAGAGCTGTATACGTTGCCTTCATGTGACATCACTCCCATTCCAAAGAGCCTATAGTTAAAAGTTGTGGTGAAGGGCAGCTGAACAATCTTTCGTCAAAAGTTCATGGTCCCATTCCCAACAAAAAAAGTCAACATATGAGCTGGTTGTAATATTTTCTCATTAATGTCTATAGGAATTTTCAGACATACTGTAAGACGCGTTTTTGAGACTCATAAAATACTGAGAAAAACAGTTGAACTTAAAAAAAAAACACAACTCTTTCTTTACATTCTTCATGTGTTCTTTGGTCTTTGTGTTCTTTTCAAAACCAGGGATACTCTGTATACAAGGAAACCTGAAATATAATTATCGTAGCTGGTTTTTGTATGTCTAACCTGTATTCCGTCTCTCTTCTCTCCTCAGGATGTCGTCCATGTTGGTTCCTCTCCATTTGAACTCTGTGACAAACCTCTTTCTGTCCCCAGGTTCAGTCCCTATGAGTGGTACAACCCGCACCCCTGCAACCCCGACTCGGACGTGGTGGAGAACAATTTCACGCTGCTCAATAGTTTCTGGTTTGGAGTCGGAGCTCTCATGCAGCAAGGTAGTGGCCTCAGCAGTCCACCCCCAGCCCCCCTGTCCCACTGTCTCCTGGGGGCCCCGCTTTGGCCCAAGGTGCATGGGGGCTCTGTGCATGGAGCTCTGAGAGGAGACGAATGTAAACAAGATGGCTGACTGTCAATGATTTGCATGTGATCTGTGCAAAAGGCCACTCGTGTTACTAATAGACAATTATCAAGTTATTCAGACGACGGCACATTTGGAATCTGAAACCCTGAATAGTCATGTTATTATAAAAAAAAAAAAAAAAACAAGTGTACAGTAGAACTTAATGATAGACTCTGGGATCAGACACAGATTACCTTTGGTTCCTTAAATTACATATGGACTACATATGGAGCAAAACATATCGTATTTTTTATTGTCTTCTGATTAAGACAAGAGCGTGTTCCTATCAGATTTTGAAGAAAAAAAACTTGTGAAATCAAGATTTAAACTATTAACCTCATGCACATTGTTAGTGTGTTGAAGTTGCTGCTTGATTGTCTATCAATAATACGTACATGTATTGGACTTGATGAGGTAAGTGTGCAGAAGGCCTGGGATGACTGAGTGTGAATGCCTGCAGTGAAACTCTAACCCTGACTCTGCCTGTGGTCCAAACTAAGCAACATCTTCTCAACTAGACTGCCCCATCTCTGACGGTGTCGACACCAAAACATTATTAACTGCATGTTAGATTCAAGACAACTGCAAAATATGGTCATCTGCCTGGCATCTAGGATGTAATTATTATTGATTCATTCTGCTGTAAACGACCCGACGTAAAAGAGACTAATCTTCAGCAAGCCGCATGACGTGCTGCATGTTTACTAATGTCTATGAATATTTAAAAAAACTTGTCACTAATTTCTTGTCATTTGGCATCAACAATCAGCAACTTTAGTCCTGAGATATTTTGAGGTTCAGGCAGGATTAGCTGTGTCAGCTGTGTACCGAGAACACAGTGACATTTCTGTTCATCCTGAAGTACCCTGGTACACTAGTTCACAGATGATGGCAGGGCATTAAGTACAGATGTGTGAACAGTTCTTGTGTTTGGTTCTTTTTCATGTACATATCATTGTTAAATACAAATAATTTTCATATTTTGAAATATGAACTAAATGGAATAGTCTATATAGAAAATCCTCGGTGACCGAACAGTGTAGTAACTTCCTGAATTCACTAGCAACAAATAACATGACCAACATATCAGTGCTAGTTTTTAGTACCAATATCTGTTAGTAACAAACAATAATGAACAAGAAACAAGTCCACTCACTTCGGTTTCATTCTTGCCATAACGGTTTGTGCCTGCACTTTGTGCCACTGTAAACCGGCTTGAACAAAATAATGAACTGTGGGCATGACCAGTGGTGGTGCCAAATGTAAAATGGCATATTTTAAATTCCTCATACATGTATGAATCACTCTAATTTGAGAGGGTCCATGAGAAGGGAAAACATGATAATCTAGTGAAATATGCCAATGTTCCCCCAAAATATATATTTTTTTTTAAAATCCAAATTACTGATCAATACAAACAAGAAAAGTTGAGTATAGCGTTTTACCTTATATCCAAAAGCGTTTTCTGGTTGAGAAGATGTGTCCAGTGCTACAGGTGAGAGTCTGCACAGCGCCCCCATGTGGCCCCCTGGCTCTGCCCCCTGAACCCAGTGGGACGTCTGGCTTGTGACGCTGCCTTGGGTACATGACAGTCGGCCCCAACCAGACATGAACTCTGCACAGTTAGTTAGACTGAAGGTAGGCAGTCTACAGCGTGTTCTGTGAAGGGAGATAGGAGATCTTCATTTGAACAGACCGAGTGGGCAACACAACAACACTGGAACATTCAATTCACTTCTAAACTAATCAGGTGACAGGACATATGATTATTTTGGCCTAACATTGGTTTTAAGACCGAAATAGTCAAATAACAAATAAAAAGGTTTAGCAAATTAATTATATTTTTGATAGTGTATTCTGCCTTAGCATTATGCATTATATACTAAAAATGTAAGTGTCTTCAATATATTGAAATGACTTTTGACTTTGGAGGTCAAAGAAAAATCATGTCACAGTTGGGACCTAGAATGAGTTCCATAATGAAGTTGTTGGTATAGTTGGTTCGTCAAAGTAAAAAATGTGGGTAAAGACCAAATGAAAAAAAAAAAAAAAGATTTAAAATGTTCATGGACTGTCAATTTAGCCATGACGTTACAAGATTTGAACATCTGTGAGAAGAAAAGTGGATGGATTCTAAATTGTAAAGTCTAATATGGGAAGTTTTCCTATGAGTCTCATCCATCACTGTCTGTGTCAAACAAACAAGGCCCAGAGGCAAACTTGTTGAACACACAGCGGAAAATGTGCAGGGACCACAGACTCTACAATCTCAGCAAACAAGGCAATCGCAAGAAGATACTGACATGAATATGTTGATATAGTCTTGTTTTTTGTTTGTTTTTATAATTACATGTTTTACCATAGTAACTGGTAAATGCTGAGAAATCATCCCAAAATGAACGATTGTTGAAACACTTTCTAATGCTTGTCCTCTGCACACCTTGTCTTTGGATTGCAGAGTTTTATATGTGGTAATTAAATTGTATTATTAAATGCTAATCAAATATAAAAAGTGGTAATACAACTATACCATATACTCAGACACAGAGAGAACTTTGCAATTGTATAACTGACTGATGGAGAGGGTGCTGTTTTAAAGGATGGATCCCAGGTAGTAACAAAGTCATTGTACTTATCTACTACGTTCTATAATTTTACTAATACACAACATATTTTTCTCCATGCCTCTGACCACTCTGTCCTCTGCGTCAGGCGCCTAAAGCATACCCATGGCCTCATCTTTTCCTCTGCCCTGTGCCCAGGCTCTGAGCTCATGCCCAAAGCCTTGTCCACCAGGATCGTGGGGGGGATCTGGTGGTTCTTTACGCTCATCATCATCTCCTCGTACACGGCTAACCTGGCAGCTTTCCTCACTGTGGAGCGCATGGAGTCGCCCATAGACTCTGCTGACGACCTGGCTAAGCAGACCAAGATCGAGTATGGCGTGGTGGAAGATGGGGCGACCATGGCTTTCTTCAAGGTGAGGAGCAACTCGCAGACTATGCTATTCAATCTATATTTTCAAAAATGTTGTTTGATGTTGTGATGTTGTGGCATTTAGTTTTCTACAATATCTGACTGCTTTGGATGGACATAGTAACCACCCAGCATTACTCTTTATGATTGATTCAAATTCTCTCTTTATTGGTTTAGCTATTCAGAGTCCAGACTTGTTTGTCTGATTCACTTTAACTGGACCCATTCTCCTTCACTTGGGCCAAAAAGGCTTTAATATTTATGGATGTAAAACCACTAAACAAGTGAACATGTGTCCAGTACTAACACTAGGACACTATCCATCCATCCATCCATTTTCTTCCCCTTAATCCATTTCTGGGTCAGGGGAGAGTTAGTCAGAGCTGCACCCAGTACACTTAGCACAAGCCCCCTAGGATTGGGACAACTAGGACTCTAGAATTATGAAAATACTCGAACTCTCTTAGCAGGAATTTTGACTGCTCACATTCAAACCAATGAAATTCTCAGAAATTGCCCCAAGAAATGTTTTGTTTTCCACCAGATTATTAGGAATTTATAATAAGTGCTAAAACCGGTTGACATTCCCTGAAATAGAGCCAAAACAATGGGTGCGTTGCTACTGTAGCACTCACTCTTCTCTGACGGAAAACCAAGCCAAACTAGAACCAGTCCAAAATCAGTCCAGAACCAGCACTCTCAAAAAAGGCTTTAACTTATTTGTATATAGTGTATATATTGTGTGTGCTCCCTGTGTGCTCTTACTACTGTCCTATATGTGCGATGCAACGTCAAAATTTCCCCACTGTGGGACAAATAAAGGAATTCTTATCTTATCTTCTTATCTTAACTGCCTCAGAAAGAAAGCAACCGAAAATAGCTACATTTGAATTTTAAAATTAGAGTTTTACATTTTATTAAAATAATGACAGAAATAAACTAGATATAGAAACAGAAAAAGCCACAAAATTAAGACGAGCCAAAAGGTAAATATGTTAAGTATATGTACTTCCAAAACTATTCATTAAAAAAACAGATCTGTGAAACATTTTTCCCCAACAACCAGTCCAGCTAGAGTGAATTGAACCAACAAGTGTGACCATGCCCTTACTGATGGTGGTTATGCCAGAGGAAAGGACTTTAATAAATAAGTGGTAAACAGGATGCATTTTTTTTTTTCATGACATAACTTTGAGATACAAATGCCCCTTTCAGCTCAAAAGATTGAGCCAAAAGAATGAGCTACAATCAGTTGCCTTCTATAGTTTTAGTTAAAAGACAGAACAAAACTGTACATTTACAGTATGCACATGATCACCTCTGGTCTGTGTAGACTGAGCCTTCACTCGAGTTCAAGGACTTCATTTGTAATATGTTTCTCTCCAATCTCTCCCTATTCTATTGTGGACCATCTTGGCTCCATCTGTTCAGGCCACTTGTACAGACTGAGGAGAGCCTCTCTTCCCCGTGTTTTCACCCTTCTGCGAGCTATTAACACAGAGGCTTCAACAGACGAGCGCACACCTGCTTATGGGCACTATATTTGTGATCGTGTCAATGCAAAGAGAACGCAGGAGCACCAGGACAAAATGTATACTTTAAATTGATTAAAATTGACAAAGAAGTCGTGACAAAAGGCGGGAGATGAAAAAAACCAACAATGGAAAAAAACAGGAGCACAATGGAGACAGTCTGTTTGACGGTGTCTTGGATTCAGGAGAATACAAGTTATTCTAACATGCATACATTTGCATGAATGTAATGTAGCCATGTGAAATAGACAGAAATATGACGGTGGATGTCAGGTTTTTTTCAGTTTTTCAACGACAACCGAACACACACATCCAGATCCAGGACAAAGGACTGCAAAAATAAAACCCAATTCCATCCATGGCGCTGCTCCAGATGTTGATGGCAGCCTTAGTCACCTTAGTCAACTAACTGTCATCTTTATGTACTGTATTCAGCACATTTCACAGACCAAGGTCATACAACGCGATCTACATTTTTTGTGTGTAATAAAGCAGTATATGCTCAAATAAATATTATGTAATTTTTAGGGCTGTCAAAGTAAACGTTAATTAATATAATTCATGAATTGTGTTAAAAAAAATGACGCATTTGACGCCTGTGCCGAATGACCCGCCCATGCATCTTATAATAACACTCAGAAGTGACGTAGACACATGCATCGGAGATGGCGACAGAGCAGGTAGTCATTCATTAGCATTAGCACAACTTCTTATAAGCTGTACAACAATCACTGATGAAATTATAACAAAGTAATGCACTGCTAACAAAATATACAGAACAATAACTGAAAGATTACCGCTAGTTTCGTGTCCAAATTTAGTCCGAGGCGGTCCCGCAGGTCTCTCCAGAGGAGACAATGTAAACTAGCTATGTTCACTCGGGCTTGATTTCTTCTTTGATCATCTTTTGCGTAGTTTGGGTTGTTTTGCTGTTTATGCAGTTACAGCCAGAGGAGGTATAGCCACTTTCTGCTGCCATGCTGCTGTGTTTACCTGCGCTGCAGACGCTAGAGGAGGCATGGCCTAGGAGAACTACGTAAAGTTTCTACTCAGCACTTTTTATGGCCTGAATTCATACACAAGCTAAATCAATTAGCTACAGTTTTCAATTAAATTACCGGTTTTAAAACAACTTTTATTACAACTTAGAAAAAATACTGTTCAACAGAAAGAAAGAATGTTAATGCAGTTTTATGTGAATTATTGTTTCAATAAACAAAAACAGCACATATGTACACTATGTTGTAATTTATCGTTCCATTCAAGCAACCATTTACGGAAAAATATGGCATAATTTTGCTGATAGTTTGAAATGCGATTAATTATGATTATTAATATTTAAGCTGTAATTAACGCAATTAAAAATAAAAATCTTTTGACAGCCCTAATAATATTATGTCCTGCACTTAAATGCCTCTTTGTGTCTGGTCCCATCGATCTAAGGTTCCGTGTTGCAAGCTTTGACGGACAAATCCTGTCGGCCAGTTGTCCTTACACAATCTGGAAAAGTCAGTGATTGTTCTCAGAATGTTATGCCTCTTTAGCTGAGGTTCGTGGTTCGGAGTGTTACCATCATCACTGTGGACACAAACAACAGTAGTCGTTAGCGGCGTTAGCATCTGTGTGTTACAATGGCCACGCTGTAACATACTGTAGGTCCCAGTGTGAATTCATTTACATGGAGAGGTCACGCGGAGCAAACCTCGACATGTGCGCCTGCAGATAATCATTTACACACACTGTGCTGATTTGCATAAACTGTAATTAAACTGAGAGGGAATGGAAAACCATTTATGGAGTTGAAGTGTTTTGTTTTTGCCTCTGTATTTTTGTTGCGATTAAATTCTAATTAATTTCACAAAAAATTAACAATGCCCACTTTTAATTAGAAACGGCAGAATCTTGTTGTTTTGAAATGTGTTAAATTGCATTCCCCTATAGATCAGATTGTATCATCTATATATGCATAAATGTACACTCTAATATAACGATTGAAACAAACCCCGAAGCTGGAGGAATACAGTAGTTACAGTAGATCCCTGGAACAACCTTGGAAATCTCGGTCCAGAAATGTGCAGCGCTAGGAACATCAAAGATAGACCCGAGCTTAGAGAGGGATAACCGCCCGAGGAGAGCAAATGGTGTGTGTTTTTTATACATATCAATTAAAAAGTGAATTGATAAATAAAAGGGACATTGTAGACATGGTTTGCATTTTTCAAAGGTCTTCTGGATAGCACAAGCATGCACAAAGACCTCTGAAAGCAGTGTTGAGTGTGTAAAGAAGCAGGGAAACAAAAGCTCTTACAGGTCTATTTTGCATAATAGGCAGTGATGGGAATAACGGCGTTACTAGTAACGGCGTTACTAACGCCGTTACTTTTTTCAGTAACGAGTAATCTAACTAATTACTTTGACAGTAACTATAACGCCGTTATCATTTCCGACATCCCGTTACTGCGCGTTACTCAATCCTCCCTTCTCTCATGACAACACGTTCAGTGTTGTCATGAGAGAAGGGAGGATGAGAATTGAGAAAACCTCTCAGCAATTATTGGCTGATGTAAATCATATTTCCTTTACAATCTACATGTCTACAGTTGAGAGGATGGCTCATAAATTGTGTTTTTGAAACAAATATGGGTCTTAATCGCGCTCAACCACGGCTTGTATCACCGTGAGGTCAGCCACAGAGGAGCGCATGTGAGCGCAGAAGTCGGCTGCATACAATTCCATCGATAAGCTCCTTGCTCTTCCTGGTTTATCTGCTAAGGACAGCAACAGGTTTGGCTAACATACATATAACACATTTTTACATAATCTAAAATGCACATAGGGTAATTTTTCAATTACTATAGGAATGATAAGAAAGAGAGGTGAAGTGTAGACAGTTGATTTTAGAAATTGGATGCAGCCGGCTGCAGCAAAACAGAGGAGTTTACGGAGGACACACGCGTTTTGTTTTACTTTTTAAAACTCATTGGACTCATTTCCAAATGGAGGATTACATATCTACGCTCAAACCATTCACTGGATTTAAACAAGGAACTGGTCTGAACCGAAGTGGACTGTGCAGGTCGTTTATAAGGTAAGACCCATAACTCATAGTTTTGCGTTTTGTATGAACAAACAATGCGGGCATAAAACATATTTTGCTGTAGCCAAACAAATTGTCCACTTGATTTATATGATGTATATGTTCATCTGATTGGGCTGAAGTCAGTGCTTCACCAGCCTCACCGCTCGTCACCGGTGTTTCCACATTCACAGTGGCGGGTGTTTGTGTTTAGTGCTTACAGCACAGAGAGAGATGAAGAGTGAACAGGACTTCAGCAGCAAAACAGCCTTTTCTAGATGGAAATATTGGCACTGTTAAAGGTAAAAATGCGCACGTCGGGTGCACATTATGTTCCAGAACAAAACGAAAAAGTAACGCAATAGTTACTTTTACTGGTAACTAGTTACTTTTATA